CATCCACATTGATGTTGACCTTGCATTAAAATGGCTAGTTCTGTTATGGGATCTTTGGGGTGTCAGTTTTCTGGCCAGAAACCTCTGTGGCTGGTGACATCTTTGCCCTAGTTCTTATCCTGTGTCCAGGAAGAATGAGGTATGCAGACAAGTGAAGAGTGAACAAGATGAAGAGGCACCTGAGTTCTTGTCCTGCATCCAGGAAGAATGAGGTATGCAAACAAGTGAAGGGTGAACAAGGAGGAAGAGGAGTTTTATTAAGTGTTATAACAGCTCAGAGGAGAACCACAGTGAGTAGCTCCTCTCTGTAAGCAGGTCATCCCATCTCTCCATCCTCTGTCCTGCTGTGGCTGAGCCTAGGGCTTCTATGAACCTCAGAGGGGGAGGAAGTGTGTGCTGATTGGTCCATGGGCAGCCATGGGTGGGCCCAGAAAAGGCACCACAGGTCCTCACTCCATGTGGCAGGACTGGCCGCCTGGCCTGAAGGTGGGGTCTTACTGGGGACCTGCCCTCTTCCACCCAGGACCCTGTCTGCCTCCCACAGCAGTCCACGGCGCCCAGGCTGCTTGCACCAAGGGGCACTTGCAGGCCAGAGTCGAGCTGCCCTCAGCCCCCCTCAGCTTCCTCTCTCATGTTCATGGGCACTCAGATTCTGGAGGGGGCCAAGGCGGCAGGGCACTGGTGTGTCAGCACTGCCCTGAGCCAACACATATCCTCTGAGCTGTGACAGCACCTCTGGCTCAGCCCCAACCCCTCTCTGAAATGAGATCAGAGCAGGTGCCTGAGGGAAAAGAGACCAGGCAGTGGGAGCAGACACCCCTAAGCCTGTGGTGGGGGGGCTTCCTGGCCCCCGAGAATGCAAGCTGCAGAGATGCCCGTGTCCTGCACCTGGGAGGGCGGCTACAGATGCACCTGAGGACCTCCTACCCCACCAACAAGGAAGGGGTGGGGCTCCCAATTGTCCCTGGCTCCTGCCCACTCCGTGGAGCCAGAGGCCTGGGTCTGCAGCCATGGATTGGGCAGTTATAGTTGCACTCAGGAGGACATGGATCCTGCCTGCTCCTGACTCCCTCGAAGAGCACAGGGACAATCAGATCTGCAGCCCAGTAGGGTGGGGGCTCCTGCCTGATCCCTGGAGCTGGAGGCCCAGGTCTATAGCTGAAGTTTGGGTGACTGCAGTGGCACCCAGGAAGTTCCCTCCCCAACTTGGAAGGGGTGGGGCTCCCACCAGGTCCATGGAGTGTGCAGCCCCAGCCACGCCTCCCTGCTGCAGCCAGCATGATGGTGGCAGCCGCTGCCATCAGTTCTACTTTCCTGCCTTAGAAATTGGTGATGGTGTAGCAGGAATTTTAAGGAATCAGAGAGACTGATGGGGTTCAGGGGGACATTTATTAATTATTTAGGTACACCAGCCCAGTCAGATTAACATCCAAAGGACTGAGCCCCGAACAAAGAGTTAAGTTACCTTTCAAAGCATTTTGTGGGGTGGGGGGGAGATCTGTGCAGATGGAAGTGAGAAACAAAGGCAGTTATTCAACTGAGACATGCATTATATCATTTCTTACTTTTTAAGGAAAAACATGCTTTGTGACTTGAGTTTATTTATCTGTCTAGTGACCTTGCAGCTGCACAGCTAGGGAATCCGGGTATTCACAATGCTTGGGAAGGGAGGAGAGATAAAGCTCACTAGCCACAGAAAAATAGGCAGTTAGTTTTTAAAGGACTCCAGCTCTTTCTCTTTCTCAGAAGGAATTGGGTTTTCTTACATACAACTGAATTTCTGCTTACACACTCTTTAATTTCTTTTAATTCCTGTTCCAATGGGAATGAGATCTCCTAGTTTTGGACTGGGGCTAGCAGGGCCTCGGGTGTCCCACACTTGGCAACATCAGCCTCTGTCCAGAATCCTGAACCTGTAAGCTAGAACAGGGTTAGCTGACAGTGTCCTGAACCCAAGAAGGTTGGGAGGGTGGGGTTAGATTGGAGTATGCAGGATTGACAATGGTATACCTCTTCTCCAAACTACTGGCTGAGCAGAAATCTTGAGTTCTAATGAATTTGAACCCAGTTAGGCTAACCTTTCCTTAGCACCTTTCCTTAGCATTAAAGGCTAAAATATCAAGGCAGCATCCAGGGCTTCAGCAACTCTTGTGTCCCAGTAAGACAAGCCACAAATACCCTTGGCCCCATTATCAGGCCTCCATTGCCATAAAATCTTTTTAATTCTCAAGAGGTTACAGAGAATGAATTACCCCTTAATCATACTTGAAGCAAACCTTCTGTCTAAAAATCCAATGTGGCCAGGCATGGTGACTGGAGCCTGTGATCCCAGACGCTTAGGAGGCTAAGGTGAAATAATTGCTTGAGACCAGGAGTTTGACACCAGCCTGAGCAACACAGTGACTCCCATCTCTAAATAAATAAATACACAGGTAGATAAGTAAATATATAGACAAATTGATAGAATGATAAATAAATAAATGAGTAATAAATAGATTAGAGATAGATAGCCAGCTAGGTAACTAGTCAGCCAGCTGTCTTAAAAAAATGGCTGGCTGCGGTGGTTTATGCCTGTAATGCCAGCACTTTGGGAGGCTGAGGCAAGAGGCTCTCTTGAGCCCAGGAGTTCAAGACGTCTGGGCAGCATAGTGAGTCCCTGTCTCTACAAAAAAATTTTAAAATTAACGGCGTGCACCTGTATTCCCAGCTACTCTGGAGGCTGAGGTAGGAGATCAGGGCTGCAGTGAGCCATGACTGTACCACTGCACTGCAGCCTGGACGACAGAGCAAGATCCTGTGTCAAGAAGAAAAAAAAAAAAGCAAACTGGGTTTTTCCCTTCTACTTTCACACACAGTTAATACTCAGCACAAAACACTTTTGACATCAGATTCTCCAGTGAACACCAACTGGGTGTCTTATGATTTAATTCAATTCTGACACTGTCTACCTGGAGATAGTGTCAGATCCTATGGGTTAATGGCTCAGTCCAATGAGATTGCGACTCCCATTTCAGATGCCAGTCACAAGCACTAGATTGCCACTTCTGACTCCCTGGGTATAAATTGCAGGGTCCTACAATCCCCTCCTCAGGTTCAATTAATTTGTTAGAGTGGCTCACAAGACTCAGAAACACTTACTTACATTTACTAGCTTATTATAAAGGATACAGAATAACAGCAAAATGGAAAAGATGCATAGGGCAAGCTATCAGGAGAAGGGTGCAGAGCTTCTACACTCTCTCTAGGTGTATAACCTTCCAGGCACCTCTGTGTGTTCAGCAATCTGGAAGCTCACCAAATCTCATTGTCCAAGAGTTTTTATAGTTCTGGTGTCCTATGGCACAGTAGGGTGACTATAGTAAACAACAAGGTGTAGTAGTTCTCAAAATAGTTAGAAGAGAGGATTTATATGTTCCTATCATAAAGAAATAATACATGTTTGAGGTGATGGATATGCTAATTACTCTGATCATTTGATCATTACACAATGTATACATGTATCAAAACAAAATTACATTAGGCTGGGTGCAGTGGCTCATACCTGTAGTCCTGACACTTTGTGAGATCAAGGCAGGAGGATCGCTTGAGGCCAGGCGTTTGCGACAAGCCTAGGCATCATAGTGATACCCTATCTCTACAAAACATTTTTAAAAATTAGTTGGGCATGGTGGTGTGTACCTGTAGTCCTAACTACTTAGAAGGCTGGGGCAGGAGAATCCCTTGAGTTCAGGAGTCCAAGGCTGCTGTGAGTTATAATCAAGCAACTGTACTCCAGTGAGGGCAACAGAGTGGAGACCCTATCTCCCAAACACACACACACCACATTATACCCCATAAATGTGTACAAAATCATGTCAATGAAAAATACTTCATTTTATGTTTTTATTATTATTTTTAGAGACAGGGTATCACTCTGTGACCCAGGCTTCAGTGCAGTGACCTGATCATAGTTCACTGCAGCTGTGAACTCCTGGGGTCAAGCGATCCTCCCACCTCAGCCTCCCGAGTAGCTAGGACTACAGGTATGCATCATCATGCATCGATAATTAAAAAAAAAATTTTTTTTTTGTAGAGATGGGGTCTTGCTATGTTACCCAGGCTGAACTTGAAATCCTGCCCTCAAGCAATACTTCTACCTCAGCTTTCCAAAGTGCTGGAATTACAGGCATGAGCCACTATGCCTAGAAAAAAAATTTATTAAAGAGTTTTTATAGAACTCATCCCTTAGCCCTGCTTTCCCACCTTTCCTGGATGTTGGTGGGTGAGGTTGAAAGTTCCAACTTGCCAATCCTCTATTACCTGTTTTTTCAGGTGACTGGCCCTATCCTGGGCTACCTAGGAGTCACACTCTGAGTTATATCATTAGCATAAACTCAGATGTAATCCAAAGGGACACATTATAAATAAGAAGATAATCCTATTTGTCAGGAAATTTCAAGGGTTTTAGGAGCTTTGTGATGGGAACCAGGGACAAAGACCTAATATATTATAATATCACAGGACTATTTCCCTCAATATGACTTTAAAAAGATTCAGTTTTTATGATGCTTAGCTTCTCCCATGACCAGAGTGACACTATTTGTAGTAAGGAGGGGCAGAACAGCTGGACAGCTGATAGTCAGTTGTCAGGACACTAATATTTCTTTATTCTGTTACCAAACATAGCATTAACGGAAAGGACACAGTGCAATTCATTAGCTAGGTTTGCATCCAAGACTTGGAAAAAAATGAAAGAGTATTAAAAGTGGGTAGAAACTTTGAGAGGAAAATAAATCTTGGAACCCCCAAATCACTAAGCCAAAGGGAAAAGTCAAGCTGGAAACTGTATCAGACAAACTTGCCTCTCATTCTATTCCTAAATAAGATAGTTACAAAGATTTGTTCAAAAGCTACATACCTCTCTCATAATTTGCCCATAAGGAAAATCATGGACAAAGGACAGACAGAACTCAAAGTCATCCCTCTGTTCCTGTGCAACAAATGCATATCTGATTGCTTCCTTTGCCCTATTGTTTCACTAAGCCAGACTAAGGCATAAGTGACTATTCCTGTAAATTGTGCATTCAGTGAAAGGCTAATCAGAAACTCAAAAGAATGCAACCATTTGTCTCTTATTTACCTATGACCTGGATGCCCCCTCCCTGCTTCGAGTTGTCCCACCTTTCTGGACCGAACCAGTGTACATCTTACATATATTAATCGATGTCTCATGTCTCCCTAAAACATATAAAACCAAGCTGTATCCCAACCACCATGAGCACATGTTGTCAGGACATACTGAGGCTGTGTCACAGGCGCATCCTTAACCTTGGTGTAAGGAACATGGCTGCACTGAAGCCAGGCAGACATAGGCTGAGGTAAACATCCTGCATGACTCAACAAGTTTGGTATACAGGCACATAACTCCACTTGTTATATAATCACAGCCATGTAGCCATAACATGGGAAGGCTCATCACTCAGCTCAGAGCCACTATTGTCTGCAAAAGGTACAACTACCCTGCTGATGCTGTACAGGTGCACCCAGAGAAAGAGAGAGAGCCAGAGCTGTCTGTCTTGCAGATGGACAGCGGGAAGCCAGGACACAGTTTGGCTTGCTTGCACCCAGAGGGAAAGAGTTAAGCTGCTGACCCTGAAGGGAGAGCTGGCCGTGTGGCTGTGCATGGGAGTAGCTGCAGCAATTAGCGAAGATAGAGACAGTGTAAGAGAGCTGCTGAATAAAACCATCTTTCACCTGCCTACGCCCCCCACTCCCTTGACCCGAGTGTTCTTTCAGCTATCTGCCACCCATCCACCCACTTCCTTTCGACCTCAGCATGGGCTGGAACCTGCCCCTGGACCTGACACTTGGCAAAATAAATTTTTTCAATTGATTGAGACTTGTCTCAGATACTTTTTAGTTTACAAATTGGTGACCACAAAGGGACTCAGTGGAGGTGGCCCTGACCTTTGGCAAATCTCCTGTTGGTACTTGGTACCAACTTGAGCTATCTTTATAGCTCAAACCAATAGGACAATTTCCTGAGGCCTGGGAGCTCCCCTCCCTCCAGAGAATCCCTGATCTCCCAAAATTTCATTGAGATCTTAAGTATATTTTGCTGTACAACTCCTTTTCTGGAGTTTTACTTGCTTCCAACAAGGCAGGCAAGTTTTCCTGCTTCCATGACGATGGAAGGCAGGCAACTCCTTTCTGGAGTTTGAGCTTGCTTTCAACAAGGACGGCAAGTTTGAGTTTCTTCCCACTTCTAGGATGGTAGAGAGCAGTCTTCAGTCTGAGACCCATTTCTACGTAAATAACTGAATTTTTTTTGTCTTGGAAATTCTCCTTAATAACTAAAGGTTAAAATTGACAACCAGCTGGTCTTAATTCTCTTTACCATTAGAATACTCAGTGATCATACTGTTGCGGTTTTTTTGTTATTGTTTCAGTCTTTCTCCCATTGGATTTGACCAACTCTACCCAATTTGGTCAAATCTGAATGAGAATTCCAAATTGTGGGGAACAAGGCCTCTGAATTGGCTAAAATTCCTTGCAGCTGCAAAAAGAAAAAGAAAAGAAAAGAAAAAAATGTGTTTAGTTTCTGTGTCTGCTTCCTGTCTTACTTTTCTTTCACCCTATTCCTCCTTCCCCTTTGCCATCATGGACCAAGAAAAAATCTAGAGAAGGCTTCTAATGAGTCAAACCCCTCAAAGAACTCAAAACGAAGGCACTATTCATGCCTCTTTGGAGTGTTCTGTTTTCTTTGTAGAGTTTCAAGAGTCATGGGCAGATTCTTCGTAGGTCTAAAGCTCTGTTCTCCTGTATTGCATTACCTGACCTCTTTGGCTTTTGGCAGTACTAGAGATTACCTTGTACTGTAAGAGGATTTGACCTTGGCATATGTAATGGCAAATGAGAGCTACAAAGTTAAGAGTGGCTGAGGACAGTTTACGGGACTGTTCTCAGCTGAGTTTTTTTCCTCCTAGGAAACTGTTTAGGATCATAATTCTAGTGCAGAGGTTCATTCTAAAGTGTCTTCTTAGTTGCCTTTCATCCTGAAATTAATCTCGACTTGTCTGCACATTTGCATGAGGAACTGAATTGTTGTTTTCATAGATAAATGAGAGACTGAGTTTCCTCAGCTCCGAAATGAAAGGGCATTTTGCTCCTCCCAGCTGAAAGGCACCCCTGGGTGATGAGTGGGAGCTTTCTTTTCTACCTGCTTTAAGTCTGCTGTTACTTTTCTACTGAGATAAAATTCACTGTTTGCATCCAACCATTTTTTTTTTTTTGCTATTGTTTGCAAACTGGTGAGTTTGTATTACTATTTCATGGCTAGAGTTCTGAATTAAAAGCTATAGGATCTTTGTATGAGTGTGTATGTGTGTGTTTATGTGTACACGCACACATTTTATTATGTATTTTTGGTCACAAGGTACCAAATTGGCTTAAAGCTAAGTGGTACTCATAAATTAAATAAGCCTAAATGCTTTTCAAGTTCATGTGACTTAAAATCTTTAATAAGCTAGCTTTACAATTATTGGTAAAATAATATCAGAAATGTCTTAAGAATTGTCAGCATACATTTTTGTTTGCACTTACAAATCAAGAGATTTCATACTTATCCCTGCCAAACACTATAAGGTGTCAAAATTTGGCATAAGGGTTAAACTATAAACCCAGTCCAAAACAGAATGATATTTGCTTGTGTAATTCTTGATAAATAAGATGTTAATACTGCTTTAATGTAAACAGCTAAATTTTGGATTATTTAGTAAGATAACCATATATTTAATCTTAAGGTTCTTACTTAGATAAACACCTCAAATTCACAGGCTATAAAATGCTTGACAGGGAAATAATTTTAAATGATGACTATCACAGTTTTCATAAATAATCTAGGTAAACAATTAAAATAAATTAGGTAAATATAATGGGATACTTATAGACAAATTTGTCATAATTTAGAATCTAAATTTATATTAAACTAAATAATAGATATTTCATTAAATGGGTATTTTCCAATAAAAAATATAATAGGAAAACATTCTTTCTAAAAAAAGAAAGTGTGCTCTTATTTAAATGTGAATTACTTTTGTCTAACTAAAAGCTTATTTAAAGGTTATATGTAAAACAAGGTAAAAGAAACCAGGAAATAAGAGGTATTTTTGGTTAAAAAAAAAAAAAAAGCTTAAAGAAAAATAATTTTATATGAGAAAGAATATTAGGCCAGATACAGTAGCTCATGCCTGTAATCCCAGCACTTTGGGAGGCTGAGGTGGGTGGATTGCTTGAACCCAGGAGTTCAAGACCAGCCTAGGCAAAAGTACAAAACACCATCTCCACAAAAAAAATACAAAAATTAGGTAGGCATGGTGCTGCATGCCTGCAGTCCCAGCTACTTGGGTAGGCTGAGGCAGGAGGATCAGATTGCTTAAGTCTGGGAGGTGGAGGCTGCAGTGAGCCATGATGGTGCCACTGCACACCAGCCTGGGCAACAGACAAGACTCTGTCTCAAAAAAAAAAAAAAAAGAAAAAGAAAAAAAAAGAATCGTATATTGTAAATTTTGTTGTGCTAGAATAAAATGACTGGTTGTTTAAGAAAGAGGGATGTTCAGGACAAACCAGAAAGTCCAAGCATGTCATGAATGGTCTGTATAAGTCATAAGATTTATGGAAAAAATCTTTTATATGATCTAATTGGCTATAATTAAAGGGAAATGATTTATAATGGTCTTTCTAGAGATTGGGTTTTGATATTAAAAAAGAATTATATACTAAAGAATTGGTTAGGACAATGAAATTTTCTTAAGATATTGCTTTACTCTTAAAATTACAAGACATTTTAATTTTTTAGTGCAAAGTTTAATTTTTGTGTCTCGCTGTTTTCACCTTTCTCTCCCCTTTTAAAAGTCCTGAAATAATAACTCTATCCTTCAACTCATTTTCAGCTCCTGCAAGTTTTTTTTCCCCTTCAGGTTCTAATTGTTGTGGCCTGATGCTAAAAATGTTTTATTGTAAAGGTCTAAAGAAAACGTTTCCTTCCAACATAATATTCTGTGCTCTTGGCTTTAAATTGTTCTATGAACCAGAAAATTTGCATTTATGACCCAGGAAACACCCTTTCTATGTCCAAGTAATTCAAGTACCCTTTTCATTAGTTTTGAGTTGCAGGTTATCTAAATGAACTCCCCATAGGGAACAGCAGTCACACTGCAGATCTTTTCTTTTGCCTTTGGGTAACTGGCCTAATAAACAGATTTTATGCTTTATCAAAATAATTCCTGTCATTACTAAGTTTTGGTTTGCTTGGAAATAACACTGAAATTTAAAAAAATATATAATTGAGGGTATTACATCCATGAAACTTTCTGTATGTGCTTTTAAAGTCCTTGTGCCATTAAGTTACAGGGCTTTGACTCCTGGGTCTAAAAAGGACCAAGTCCTGCTAAATCTTAAACACTAACAGCAGTTAAAGCCTCATCTTCAGAGCCGATAGAAGATGCCAATCAAAATAAACCGCATTCACACCAACATGGCACAAGTATACATATGTAGCAAACCTGCACGTTGTGCACATGTACCCTACAACTTAAAGTTTAATAATAATAAATAAATTAAAAAAAAAAATAAAATAAATAAATAAACCGCATTCATGAGACACAGGCCAGAAACTATTCAACTCCTCAAGGCCCAGGGACCATCACGAGAGAGGTGGATGTGTGAGATTGTAAGGGCCAATTTTGACAGACAAGTTCAGTTTCTCTACAAATTAACCATTAATGTCAAAGGCACACTGATGTAAGACTAGCATATGGGTCCCTGTGTTAGATTAACAAGGTTTTCTTGAAGCATTAACCCACTCCTTAATAAAAGATTATAAAGGTTATAAAAAAGACTTATGAAAATTATATCTTATGGTCAAGATGATTAAAATTTTATAGGTTGTTTATAAAATTTCGAAAAACAAATTTAATTGGGCCTCATGCCATCTTTATTAGGACTAATTGTTTTGGAAATTAAGTCTCCTGTCTCAAATAAAGGCTTTTACCTTTTTTAAAAAATTGAGTTATTACTTTGGCTAAATGACTTATTTTACAATGACCTGTGATCCTATTTTGTAATATAATGTGTTTTAAACTATTTATGTTTGACAAACTTTTCAAAATCAAATTTTAACTTCGGACCTCATTAATTTTTTGATATTAGTCTCCTGAAGTCCAAAAGAGACATCTTTAGTTTATTTGGTATAATAAAATCATACAGAAGTATTGTTAAATATGAAAGTGTTTAACTTTCTTTGGATTATATTTATATAAATGTGTTATTAGTATGTGTTCCAGAATTGTATGAAATTCCTGTGATTCTGATGTGTCTTAGCATGTTATCAGTGGTAATTGTGATTATTATCTTAAATTGTTGTATGCCACAGAAGTAACAAAATTTCTTTGTCAATTGTCTCTTTAACTATGACTGTTCTAAGATTTTTTCACCCACAGTTATTTTATTTTCATCTTTTTTTTTTTTTTGTTAGATGGAGTCTCGCTCTGTTGCCCAGGCTGGAGTGCAGTGGCGTGATCTTGGCTCACTGCAAGCTCCGCCTCCCGAGTTCACGCCATTCCCCTGCCTGCCTCAGCCTCCCAAGTAGCTGGGACTACAGGCGCCCACCACCACACCTGGCTTTTTTTTGTATTTTTAGTACAGATGGGGTTTCACCATGTTAGCCAGGATGGTCTCAATCTCCTGACCTTGTGATCCACCTGCCTCGGCCTCTCAAAGTGCTGGGATCACAGGTGTGAGCCACTGCGCCTGGCCACTTTCATCCTTTTCAAAAGGTGGTTTTATAATCAGCATAGGACTCTGACAGGTGCTCTTGAATGCACATTTCTGATAACTTTGGAGACTGTGACACTAGAATAGAGGAAAAACTTCCAAGACTCCCATGGAGAGCTGAAATGTTCATGATTATCAAGCAGAATAGGAGTTAATTGCACAGACTGAACTAATAGAAAACTGAAATAATTATGACTTTTGCTCAAAATGTTGCTCATCCTTTGTTTTTCAGAGCCAAGAAAACTTTTCTTTAGAGCTATTTACAGCTTTTAACACTTAAGTATACTCGTATAAACAAAATTTAGAGCATATTTCTCTCTACCTGATCTCTCCAAAATTTGGAAACTAGTTGTGCGTATTCTTAACTTACAGCAATATAGTTATTTGCATAAGTGCAATAAGAATCTATTTTCTTTTGTAACAGGACATAACTGGAAAAACTGGTTATTTTACCAAGGTATTGACAGGAATAACATACTTTCGGTTACAGATTTCTTTAAGAAATCGAAGTTGACTTACAGGGCCAATAAAAGCCCCTTGTAAAAGCTATCCTCGTACCTTATCTACACAGTCCCTGTACAGTCTCCTAACGTGTGGTAAGTAAAGAATGTCACTTTCTGACAGGCCCAGGAGACCCAAGTTTTCTTGGGGCCTCGAGGTGAGGAATTTACCCAATTAATACAAGTATTTGCAGGCACAGGTTGGGCTTAAAGCATTAAAGTT